GGAGGACTGGGAAGATGTTTTCAGGTCCTTGAAGATTGTTCGTTCTTAAAGAGGCACCCTATGCTGCATTGCAGGGACATGTGATAAATACCATAAATGTGAGACTGAAGTCTTGAGCTTTTAATAATGTTCTAGTTCTGATATGCTTCTGTTGTCAGTCGTTACTTATCTTTAATCTGGATGAGGCCTGAGTACAGCATTTAAACACTGAAAGACAATCGTTTGGGGTTTTTTTTGTTCTTTCTTTTCCCTTTTCCCATTTTATTTATGACAGGGTGTACATAAATGAGAAAGCAAAACAGACGGGCTAGTTGTAGTCTGTGGCTTCTGAGATACAATTGTTTTAAGAATGAATTTGAGCGTACATGCTATTACTGTGTAGGGTAGTAATTGTCAGGGACTTTTATCTGAAAGCACATATTAGATTTTCATCTAAACTTTTAATTTTTTGAGCAAAATCAAAGGATGTTGTACTAAATACCTTTCCATAGATTCCAAAACCAATACTTCCGGGTTGTGAGCCAAGAATTTTTCAAACTAAAATTTCATCTACTCCCTTACCTCTCTTTTCTAGCTTCCTCCCCAACCCAGTGAATAAGCTCTACCTCTCTTGCTTCCCTTTCTCCTTGGCCCAGGCAACATCAGGCTGATGTAGCTATATTGCATTTGTTTTAGGAAAACATGCCTGTCTTCAACACTGTCTTGTGTCCTTTTCCTCTTCTCAAGCTTGGAATATGCTGTCTTGTTGGAGAAGGTGAGAGTGTTTTTTGTACTGTCACTTAGGACAAATGAAATTTTTTAGCATCCTTGCACCACAAAGTTGAGTTTTTGTTTTAAATTTAATGTGAATTATGAACTTAAACTGTGTGTAGCATTTTTCTTCTGTGTATAGTGCTTATTTTCAAAATAATTTTTCAGTGGGTGATTTTTCCATGTTATGTGTGCATCTTTAGCCAAGCACATTTGAATCCTGAATTTTTTTCAATTTTATTTTCATAAAATATTTTATTGAACTTAAAATACCATAATATATTCTTTGACAAGGACCAAGCTTTCCTGATGTTTTCAGAAAACTTTAATGTTGTCTTTCATTTGTTTAGTGTGACGCTCACTTGTGTTTTCTAGTTTCTTTTGTCACTTGTAGAGCAAGACAAAGCAACCAGAGTACTAGCCAGGTTAATGGCATTTGTAGTGGTTTTACATAGGTAGAACATGACAAAGGCAGCAATAAACTGGGAGCAGGCAGCCTTTCACTTGCTATTAGTCTTTAGTTCCTTATTCTGGGGGGGAAAAAAAAATCAAATTCAAGAATCAAGACTTTATTTTTAACTGACTGTCTGAAGTTGGGCATAAATCTATGTCAGAGGAAAAAAAGAAATTGCTAGGCTTTGTTTTATGGACTGATCCTTTATTTCACAATTCTTTGGTCACTTTGGAGGTATTGGCTGGTTTATCCTGCCAAGAGGAATTGATAATCACGATAATTATTTCTCCTAAATAATGAAAGGCAATTATTCATCAGGCCTTGCTAAAATAAAATCTTCAACTTTCAAATGAATGTTATTCCTAATAACTATTCTGAATTTGAATGTAGCCTGAGTGCAAGAATTTCCACTCTACGGGAAGTCTGAATAGACTTTCTTTCCCTCGCACTATTGAAAGGTACGACATTTCGTGCTAAACCGAATAATACTTAAGAGTTATTGAATGGAAACATTAATTCATATAAGTAACTCTGGGAAGGGAGGCATAATATAAAAACCCCACCCTCTTCCAGCCCTGAAAAGGAACTTTCCCAAAACAATCCCTCCCCCCTGCCCCTCCAAAAGACCTTCAGATGTTTCTGATCAGAATTGATGTCATCTGAAGTACCGAACCATGGCTGGCACCTCTCTAATACCTCTATCTAGTGTAACAGTATGAGATTTCTAATGTGACAAATATCACAGTATCTGTCAGCAATAGGAGCTGATGATTAAGTTTTGTAGATATTGCAATGGTGGAAGCTGGGAAAGTTTGTGTATTTTACGTGGCAAACGGCCGAACTTCCTTAACGTAGACTATTCTGTATGGGTGCATTTAAGTGTTATGTTAGTTATGGTGGTGTGTGATGCACAGGGATAAAGGACTGACATAAATTAGAGTATGTGAGGTTTTGACTAATTTAAAAAAAAATAGCAAGAGGTTGATCAAATATTGAAACAGAGGCTGAGAGGAGTTGTGAAAGCTCCATCCTTGAAGGTATTCAAAGCTTGACAGGTTACTGTGGAGCACTTTTGAATTGGACTTGCTTTTCTTAGGAGGCTGGACTACACAACCTCCTAAGACCCCTTCCAGTATACATCATTGAACGTTGCTAGAAAACTTTCTTCACCTGTCTGTCTAAGATAAGCAAAAAATGAATGCCACGGCATCTCCTGGGACTCTGGATATCTGATCATCCAGTAAAAGAGGCCTTGATGCACTGTACCACTTCTCCCACTTATGAGACCACCTAAGTAAGAAAAGCAATAGAGGAAAAAATGGGTGACAAGTGTTTATCCCAGCATACAGTTGAAAGATAGTTGGAGTACCCAGGAATTGAAAATATTTCTGACATCTGGGGACTAAGCACAGGTTTGTGTTAGCCAAAATCATTGCTTTGTAGGATAGTTATCCATACTGTAAACATGGACAAAGTGGTACATTGCTAGCCTAATTTCCTATGTAGCATTTCTTATTGCCTAGTAGAACATACACTTTTCTGTTAATAATAACTTGTTTTCTGCCCTGTATTTCCTAGCTTACTGATACCACTTTGAATTAACAATGCAGATAAGAAGTTACTGTGAACAAATAGATCCCTCAAAGCAAATAGTCAGATTTTTTTCTTGTTTTGAAAAGACAAATAGAATCTTAAAGCACAAGGTAAAATCTGAAAATTGTTTGATTGCTTAGCTAGAGACTGAGGGCTTAAGTGAATGAAACATCTCTCTCAAGCTTGGAGAATTTCGTATGTTGTGGGAAAAAATGGCAGGATGGGTAGAAGCCTAGGTATAGTTGGAGTGATGATACTGAGCAGTGCTGTGTGTAGTTGGCAGGGCAGCTTGGAACTAGGCCGTGTGTTCTTTAGTTTCGACGTAATCTTTGTGCATATATTTGAACTGGTGAACAGGCAAATATTGCAGAAGGCTTCAGGATACAGCTAGCATTAGGTTCTGGAGTACAAGGAAAACTTCTCATGTTCAGGTTTTCATGTATGGGCTCCTGCACCCTCATATTTGTCTTGCTTCTCTAGGTACACCTTTTTTCTGAATTGGCAGGAGGCAATTTCGGCAGTAGATAACGGGCTTAGTCATATTTATCCCCATGCAATACCTACTTCTGATGAGTACCAAGGCCAGGCACCATTCTTACGCATATTGTGGCTCTGCCCATAGGAATTTGCTATATTTATTGAAGTCATGTCAACGTACAAGTTCTCCTGTTTAAAAATTCTATTAAAAACAATGCACTGGCTTGCTTTACTTTGGGGCACTTCTGTTTAACAAATTCCTGATCTGTGTGGGGCTTTTATGTTTCTTCTTCCCCACCACCAGTTAGTACAAGACTAAAGTGATTCTTTGCCTGCTCCCCCTTATCAAGTGTGTGTTTTTTACCTCTTGGTCCTCATTTCAAACATCGAGGTGTGTTGTCCAAAGTAGCTGCATTAATCAGCTCTGTATGGTAGAAAGAGTTCCTTTCTTGGTGATGGCAGATTAATATGTGTTTACAGTTTTAAGAAACTGGTATTCATTAAGTTTTAGGAGAGAAATGCCAGCTTTCTCATTACTTTCAGGTTATATGCTTGAATAACTGTGGTAGTTTAAGGTCCAGTTTTATGTACTTAAAAACAGGCTTAAAGGAGAGTTCGCTAGGTGATTTTGGCACCTGCATGGGGAATTTTCAAAGTAGTAAAATGCTCACTGTCTGTGTACTTTGAGAATTGTAAATGAAAGCTTTGTGTTCTGTTGGCGCTGCAATATTGATTTTATTCATAGACTGTTCTTGCAGCTGTTCCAGTCTTCTGAATAATAGTGATGTAGCTATATTTAAAATTACATTTTTTTAAGGCATATAGATTAAATAGGAAATCTGTGCTTTTTAACTTCCATTGAGTTTGTGATTTACCTGTGTATACCTCTGCCCTCCTAATAGCTTGATTTTGCGTGACTAAACAAGTGACAAAAGATATTTTCCCCCCCTCCCCTTTTCTTTACATTTCAAAGGGGGTGTTAAGACAATCTGTGGATAATATTAAGTCAAAACTAATTTGAACTAAATATGTCAATGGCTGCAATTTTTTCATGAACTGAAACTTCTAAAATGGGAACATGTCATTTTGGTGTCTTAAGCATAACAATTTTTTTTTTTAACTCCACTTCAGAGAACACTTCCTTTCTGAATGTGGGACTTAGATTTGGAAAATACATGTTTGTCTTTTCAAGACCTAGGTGGTCTTTAGACTGTGTTGGATTATGGAACATAAAAATATTGCTAGACTATTGTGTGGCTGTAAATATATGGGTAAACATACAGATATGCAATTAAGGTAATAAAATAGTAGCCTAATTTTATGGGTATCGGAATGAGCTCACATGGTATCTATTTAGTTGTCAGCAGTCAAAAACAATAATTTTACACAAGCCGCTTATTCCGTTCTCTTCTGTGCAGTGCTGCTTCTTTGCCAAACAGAGAGATATTTCGACCAACATAGCTTCCATATGTGTTCAGTGGCTTGTTTCTACTAGGTATTTTACCCATCACTGTTGCTGAACAACAGTAGAACTTTTTTCACTTGGGAAAATATGTAAACATGTTGTACTGAAAACTTAAATACTTTGTTGTTGGCTTTTTAAGTGGTGCTTTTTTGCATCAATGAAAATATTTGGGGGCTGTGACCTCCAAAATGTAAACTTATCAATATTTGTTTAAATTAAGTAAATTTTATTTAGTTAAATGCTTTTGAATTATTTTTATAGGGTTTAGTTTGGCAGCTTTTAAGAGGAACAAGAGGAAGCTAGAGTTGGCTGAAAAGGTGGAAACAGATCTCATTCAACTAAAGAAAAGAAGACAATCAAATGAAAAGGTTAGTTCCTGTTTAAAATTCTGTTGTGTCATCATAAACTTACAGATGATTGCTAATAAATTTCATGTCATATATGGAAGATGAGACTAATGTAGCATCAGAAGCCACTTCTCCTTGACCACCCTAATGTTTAGATGCCTAGTGCAATTTTAACTTAGTGCAAATTAAATCTTTCTGCCTTCCTATTTGAAAACCTAACTGTCGCGTTGTATCTTGTTTGTACTATGAAAAACATGTTGCTCATTTTGAACTGGAAATATGACAAATGTAAGCACAAACAGATAATTATTTACTGAAACATTTTCTTTAGCTTGGGATCTCTGTCACTGTTTCCTACTTTTTAATGTTTCCTGAGCGCACTGCATTATGGAGCTGGAATTGGTGAAATTTGAAATATCAGGTAGGTAAACATGTGCATCTGTGCATGCATCTAGCATTGACCTGGCCCATATTACTTGTACTACAAAACTATTAGGATTCCCTCTGTTCCCCTCACTCTTAGTTTGAATTTAGAGCCTTTGTTACCATTTGAGAATGTCAATCACAGTATTTGTGTTTACTGTTGAATATCGAAGTATAGCTCATTAAATTAAATGCCTATGCTTTACTTGGGGCCTCTGGACTTTCGCATTGGTCATTTCTCTTTGTTTTGGTAAGCTGATTGACCGCTGCCTTATGTAGTTGCATTTGTTGGTGTAAATAACATATAAATCCCAGAGAATTGGCAAGAAAGTTTGTTCTCTGTAGTTTGTGCAAATGCAAACCAGTGATAAATTAGGCATTTTTCTTCTGTGTTCTTAGATAAGAAGTTTTCCCTAGCAAGGTGCTAATTTGTCTATTTTCAAGGAGAATAAGACCTGTAAAGAAAACAGGGATAGAGCGGGGGGTGGAAAAAGTTAGTTATTCGTTTGGGAACTTTTCCTTTTTACGGAATTTCACGTACCTCCTTGTGAAACTAACGGTGTTACAATATAACTGAGGGAGGAGGGGGTCTCTGTACAGTATTGATGTTCATGTAATAAGGGGCAAGTCAATGCTTGAAACATATGCCAATGCATGAGCTTACCGACCTGCAATTTGAAATTTCAAGGGCTCCAGAGTCATGTGCAGCGCTTGTGGGAGACCCCCAAAGGCCAATGATGGTAGGTAAAGGAGGTGATCAAATAGAGCTCTACTTGCCGGTAAGTAATGCAGTAACATAACACACCGGTTTTGTCAGCTTCTGGGGCACACCCTGTCCGTGGAGGGGGGATGAAAACCAAACCATGCTAACAATGTGGACTGCTTGTGTTAACCACAGAGGGTAAGATAATTGCAGCCTTACGGGAAGTTTAGTTTACTGAAATGAAATAGAAATGGAAAATCAAATTCTACAAAAGCAAATTCTTAAAAAAAAAAAAAAAAGTAGAATAATTCTCTCTAAGCTATTAGGAAAGGGTCATTTAGCAAGGATGAGGCACATCATCTGTCATCCCACAACTTGTACTGTCAAAGCTGAGCTCTCATAAAAGGTTTAAAAATAATTCTTTAAAAATAATTTAAATATTTGAATAATTAAAAATTAATCTTCTTGTCAAAGTTAAGCTTTAATTGATAAATACTCCTTTAATTTTTTTTATTTGCTGTCCAGCTGTCTCTGGAGCTGCAGACCTGTCCCTTTCAGCAGGACTTGATAGCTGTTTCATTGTCTTTTTTGATTCTCACCTGCTTCAACCCTATGCTACAGCTTAGCTTATGTGTTAACAGAGCTTGGCTCGTTGCCAGTTCTGCACAGTTGTTATAAATTCTGGTCATTTTTTGTCTATGAAATTTTAGAAGTTGGGAGAAGAGCAAGGTAGAAAGTATGTTAAAAAAGTTGAAGGTGAATGGAAATCATAACTACCAGACCTATGTGAAGAGTTAGTACTGCAGATGAAATAAGGCCGAAATTACCTGACAGTTTTAGCTGCTGATAAATTCCACTAGCTAAAAAGAAACATACAGATTTAAAAACTGCTTGTCAATAAAAGTTAAATTATACCAAACTCAGAAAGAATGAGAGGATGTTTACATTTAATAAAGATTGTATGGGATAACTAGGCAGTGCAACTCACTAAAAGACTCTTAACATTCCATTTACTTGGAAAAGTCTCTTTGCTGTGTTTTTCATTGTTTACCCAATGTAGGATTTGTAGAGGATTATGCAAATGCACGCAGAAAGATCCGTTAATAACTTCACTGAATTTTGAAGGTGTGAAAATTGAAACATTTTTTAAGTTGTAGTGACTTACATAGTTAAGAAATCATTTTTGTTTGTATGTTAATTAACTAAACATATTCATAGTGGGACTGGCTGTGATGTGTTAATTCAGCTAGATGCCATTCTGAAATTCTTACCTCAAGCACCAGTAAACATCAGAAGTAAATGTTTGTATTCTTACTGTTAACCTGTCTTTTAACAGCGGAAATTGTCGTTGAAAATTGCTTAGTAGAGTCTGGCTAAATGCCCTATTTTTAATTTGTCTTCTGCTATTACAAACTTTTTTTACAGCTACACTGAAGTTGTAGTACTTGTTGAAGTATTTCTAAGAGGAGTTGTCCTCTTCTTGATTTGAATAAGGGGCACTAAGAATTTCCAGTGCACATGAATTTTTTTATAGGTTACTGTTTATAGGTTAGTTTTTTGTAGGCTAGTCATTTAACTCCATAAATAACATTATTTAGTTCAAGGTTTATTAAAACTGATCTGGTTTTTATCTAGTTTAACATGTGTACTCAACTATGTGCACAACAGTTGGAATTATATGTATGGAATCAGCAGTTTCATATTCTTCAGCTACTGTATTGAGACAATAAATGAACATATTTAGAAAAGAAAAATACGTCTGTCTTTGTAGCACAGAAATACATTATTTTCTTTGAAGTATTTTGTGCATTATAATTTTTGTCATTGATCATCTTCAATGTATCACGTGAACTTTTAGCCAGTTCCAGCCTGAACTCTTTGGGTGAGCAACAGTCAATGCATAGCAATATGCATAATTCCTATTATATATGGTGAATTTTAATTACTTAATTTTTTTCTTCAAATCAAATTTTTTATGTCTGTGTGAAGGTAGTTGTAAGTGCAGCGATCAACTATGGCAGTCCTAGTAGCCGTCTTATTTATTCTTGCAGTTTGAACAGGAATTTGAATTTTATGCATTTCCTTTTCCTTAAAAAAGAAAGAAATTTTCTGTCTCACGTCTGTGCTGAAGTGGTCTTTGATGATAATACTTTTTAGACTTCAAAAATATATTTCAAAATTCATTTAATATTGGAAAAGAAACCTAAATACTTTTCATCCATTCCAGTTTAAAAAAACCAAGCCAATAAACAAAACAACAAAGCTCATCTGCGGAATACAGTATGAAATAATTCCCTTATCTTGAATGTGGAGGTCAGACAAAATGTTGTGTTTGCATGATGAGCAACTATTAAACTGGAAAGGTTAGGGTTGTTTGTTGAGATTTCTATGATTAGATTGTAACTCCCCCTTTTTAAACATGAATGTTGCACCAATCATGCATACTCAGTCAAGATTAGATTGCGATGAGAGTACATCATGCTATGCTGTCAGTTGCCCTAGAAGAAAATGTTTCTGGAAATTGGTATGTGTTACTTGGTCCCTGTGCTCACAGAATAGTGCCACTTTCCCTTCACTTAGATGGATTTAGAAGTATTTCTTTAAAATACTTTAATAAATAAAATGTTCCTTCAAAGATTGCCTTTCACCTTGTTAAATACTGCTGTAATCAACAGAAGTGCACCATCAAGAACACCTTAAATCTGAGATTTTAAAGGACCAAAACATATTAATTGTTGATGTATTATTTTCTAGGTAACACTATCCACTATTGTGCTCGTCTCTCTTCCCACTTGATCTGTAAAGGGCCAACATGGGACATACTAGATTTATCTGTCGCCCTGTTCTGTTTTGAGTAGGAGGGTACTGTAAAGAACCATATTTTTAGGGGAATCTATTGATCTAATTATCATCAAATATCAAATCCTATTTATTTGTGTGGATAGTTGGGTAATAGGATATATATGTTAATTGCTTCAATCTGGTTCATTTTGCATTTTGTCAGTTATGATACTTGGAAATGAGATTTAACGGTAATTACTTTTCATGGCATTTCAGAACAATCTCAAGTCGAGAAGGAAAAAGCCCTGTGTGTAGATATCTTTCAGAGGGCACTGGGTAGAGCTCTCCGTAGGGGCTTGTAAAATGAAGACTATTTATGGGGGGGTTTTTTACATGCAGGAGGCAGGAAGGATGAGTTTTCGAAAATACTTGATGGAGATCGGCATTTGTACAGATGAGCATCTTTCTGTTTTGTGTGCATGTTCTTAGCTACGTTTGAATATTTGGTCCATGATTTCATGAAATTAACTTCCCTTCCTGTCTCAAGGTGCAGATTAATTAAGTAACGTGAGATCTTACTTTACACATTGACTTTCAGTTATTTCCGTGTAAAATATTAACCATATAATAGATTATTTTTAGATTGCGATATTACACTGTTAAAACCCCTGAACTGCTTTTGCAATGGATGTGTTAGTATAAATTATTAGCTGAAGTCCTTTCCTGTGGAACTTGTAAAATTTTTACATCTAAAGTGTTAAAGCAATGAATCAAATACATAAAAAGTTAGGGGCAAGCAGACTGGATCTCATTTAGTGCCTGTTGGACCTATATAGAATTTGGACTTTAGACTTCATGAATTGTACTGTTTAATATATTTCTATTGATTGTCTTGATACTAGCTTGACAGGATCCTGTATTTTTCAACATTCATATGGTTTGAAGAGATGAAATGCGTGACACTGAAAGTGTTTCTCACCAGGTGCATTCTTCCTGGAACTCCTCAGGTGCATGATGCATTTTTGTATAGAGTTCTATTGTTAAATTGTGAGGAGCTCTTCATTCACTGGTTCAGAAATCATAGGGTTGTCAGTACAGTTTACATATCCGACAATGTATTTTTCCCATTGGATATGGAATAGAACTGGTCCTCACAGGTTTTCAGTTTGTTGAGTAAGGATAAATATAGCATCAGCAATGATTATTCTGATCACAAAAACCCCTAAGCTTATATTACTGAGAAGGAATATACGTAATTCCTCTGCTTCAGTGATACAGATGTCTTTCAGAAGGTTGTGTGGGCCAGATTAAAAAAAAATGCTTCCCTTAGAAAAGGTTTCCAGCCTTCTAAGTTGCCCCATCTAAAAATAAAATAAACCAAAGCAGGCAAACTATACCACTGAATTGACAGCAAATACTGGTAGGAAATGGATCTTCTTTTAAAGGAAAAACTGGGGAAGAAAGTTTTCATGCAACATACACTTGTAAATATGCCTGTGGGTTTTTGATTAAAATATCTTTTAAAAAAACAGTAATATAGCTACTGAAGGCAAATATTTTATGCATGTGAGAGTTAAAGTGGAAGATGGATGGCAGATTGAGCAAATAGTTTTACAGACCCTGCAAAGAAGGCTACAAACATTTTTTCTTTGCTGTCAGATGATATGGAAAACATACTGATCCATACTGAGCCTCATCCTTCTAAAACATATTTCTGTTCATTATGGGAGTCTCAAGTGTTTGATTTAATATGAATTAAGATTGAACAGGTGGCCTTAATTCTGGCATTTCCTAACTTTGATGGGCTTGATTTTCATATCTGTAGTTGTCTATTAATCAAGTTTTTTTGTTGTGGGTATAATTTCCTTTGATAAAAGGGGGCAGGGAATGGATAACAAAACCTGCATCATATTAGTAGTTCTTCTCTATGTAGAAATCATAGGATCATACGAAAATTCATGTTGTGAAGAGCTTTATCCAGTCTGATCTTGAAAACCTCCAGGGATGGGGGCAAAGCCTGCTTTGCTGCTTAAGATCTTCTCAGTCCACTGAGTAGTCTTGTTCTAACTGGGTTAATAGTACCTGAATTACACTGTGGCTGGCAATTGTGGGAAATGTGAAGTACAGTTGCCTATGCGATGTTATGTATACTGCATGCTATGTCCCCTCAAAAGTGTGTGAAGTCAGAGTGCCTTGCCCTGGGTTCTGCAGAGAAGGGCATCTAGGACAAGCCGAAGCAGAGAGGGGAAAAGTTTCTCTTACAGTGACTGAACGTGGTGTATTAAGGAAGGGGGAAGGATGGAAAGATCCAAGGAGAGACAGCTGAAGTGTTCGTGAGACAGTAGGCAGAGAGCTTGCATCAGGAATGAATGCTGAAGGACCCCTACTCTTAGGGGAGCAAATCTGCCTCAGAAGCGGTGGAAGTAAGGATACTTTTCTAGTGACCCAGAGGAGTGAAGGTTGGTTTGTTTCAACTAGGAAGCCACTGAAGATTGCTGAACTGAGAACAAGTCTGGGAGAAAGAATCTGTCCTGGGAGAGATTTCTTCTCAAGGCTTGTGTTTATTGTCTCACTCAGAATATCAGAGTTTTGTCTTTACATGGTAAGCTGCTGCTTGTGGATTTATTTTTTTTTTTTTTAATTTTTATTTTTGAATCATACTTGGCTTTAAAGATCAGAGTCTCTGAAAATGTCACCTTGAAGCTTTTGGGAAAGGCCTTTTGATACGGCATATTTGGAATGATTTGCTGAATAATTTCTTAGTGGACAAGTGCCCACCACTAAAAAACCCAGCATTTTTGGCACTTTTGTGAGTAAAGGCAGGTAATCTAAGTGTTGGATGAGTCTTGAGATGTTTATTACCTTGTTGTTTCCAGAGAGGTTTTCTTCAGGTCCTGTCTGAGGCAAGAGAGCATTTTGGGAAGTATTATGGCAACACAATTGGTACGATATGCATGATAACAAATTCGTTTTGTTTATCGGCCTGTCACTTGGTTTTGTGCACGTTGGTTTGCACACTCCTAAGAAGTATAATCTGACTTTAATATACTATTTTTAGTAGTTGTTTCTGTTTGTGTATCCTTCAGGAGAATGACTCAGGAACATTGGATACAGTTGGTGCCGTTGTTGTTGACCAAGAAGGAAATGTTGCTGCTGCTGTTTCCAGTGGAGGTTTAGCACTAAAGCATCCTGGAAGAGTTGGTCAGGTAATTATACCTTTTCAGTTGGGAATGGTTGTTCAGCTAGTGTGACACTAAGCAAGAGCTGTGAAAGCAAACTTCTTTCACATTAAACTCTGAAGGCATTATCCCTGCCTTGGAATGCAAGTTTTGTTTTTAGTGTCATCAATCAGTTATAAAATATTGATAGGGAAGACACCTTTTGCCAGAGCTATTAATAAGTTAATTTCTTGGGTTTAAATACCTCCTTAATACCACAAATACTCTCTTAGATGCTTAGGGTGTTTTTAAACAAGATTTTCATCAATATTTAGGGAAGCTGTCCTAATTAATTTTTAAATGATCTTGTGAATTGGTAGAAGTGACAAAGGTATTGAAAGAATGCGTCAGATATAGGCATTCCTTATTTTTATGAGGTGAGGGAATTTTGAGGTGCATTAGAAATGTCACACTCCATAGAGCTGTATTTTTGGTTGACTTTTGCCACCGTCCTAAAAGCAGTTCTCCTTTGTAATGTGTTTAAGATTTTCTTTTAGAACAGCAGAGTGAAAGGGACTTTATATAATGGATTTATTTTGTCTTTTGATATCTGTACCCTCATTTTCTGTAAAGTTAGGTTAGAATACCATACATCTGTGATAATCACTCAGTTCTGAAGAATAGTAAAAGAAGATGTAGCAAAATGGATTGGAATTGCAATTTTGACTGTTGTGATTTTTTTATCTTTTGTACTAATGCTTGGATTTTTATTGGGTTTCTTTTTTGTTGTTGGTTTGGGGTTTTGGTTTTTGTGTTTTCTTTGTTGTTTTTTTTTTAAGGGAAAGGAACAAACAAAGAACCTTGTATACTTAAACTTCTGAAAGATGCACTTCTTTCCTTAGGCAGCTCTTTATGGTTGTGGCTGCTGGGCTGAAAATACAGGAGCTCATACCCCTTACTCCACTGCTGTGAGTACTTCAGGTATTTACTACTTTTATAAATATTTCAGAAAGTTGCTATCTTTCTCTGTTCTTAGTTTACATATTCCAAATAAAATATTTTTATGAATTAAAATATTAACGTTGTTTCCAGACTACATTCTACATGTGTATCATTTATTTACATATATATATGTATAAAAGTATATATATATATATGCCAGCTATATATGTCAGTACTGTCTTTAAATTCTTTAAATCCATTAATTAATCTCTGGTTGCTTTTATTGGCCTTTTTACTTAATTAACCACCATGTGAACTTCTATCCTGTACAAAAAATTTTTGTATTGCACTGAAAGGATGTACTGTATTTGTTATGTATTAAGGGACCTGTCTGCCTGTAAAGTGCTGTTATAAGCCCAATACTGTGTTAAACACAGAATGCCTCTGTGAATGGAAACCATCTCTAAGATAAGACTAAGATAATTAGAGGGTCCTTTAACATAAGAGGGTCCCTTGGATACAGAAATGCTACAGACAGTATTTTCCCCTCCAAAATATTTAATTACTATTTTAAATGAATATTTAAGCGAATTTGTTCTTCATCTCCCTTTTCCTCTCAAAAGGAAAGAGAAAAGGCAAAACCAAATTACTAGAATAAGTGTCTTGGAAAACGTTTATTCAGAAATTGTGAAAGTAATGTGAGGATTGAGGTGGCTTCTCTTCTGTTCTTTGGAAGTCTCGAGATCCTGGGCTCGCAAAAGTATTTTTTTCATTTGATGCCTATTGGACAGCTATCACACAGAGCTGTTCTATCAGTTGGCATGAAGATACTATTTGTAAAAACAAATTTGTCAACAGATCTACTAATTGTAACAGGGCTGAAGAAATAGTAAAAATTAGAAAAAAACCCAAAAACACCACCACAAAAAATCCCCAAAAGATAATTGGGAAGATAGGTCACACTGCAATGTAAGATTTGAGAATGTGAGCCGAGATGGTTTTAAATTGTCCAGAACAGACATTGAAAAGATAACTTGAAGTGTTATGTAATACCAGGTGAATATTGTAGAACACAAAAGCCTTAAGGTGAAGTTATGTGGGAGTTGCTTCTACTTTGCAACTCCCACATAAAAGCAGCTGAAAGGACTGCATTTCATCTTTTTTTTTTTTTATTTCCCTAGTTGTATGAACAGTCTCAAACAGAAAAACTAAGTGTTATACTTCTTCATAAAAGCTTATGTCAGGATGCAAAATTCATGGTTTGGACCACTGCTTAATGGTCAGAGTGATCAAAATTCAGTATAGGGAGAGATGAAAAAAATCTGCAGAGTTCAGATTTGGGTAGTGTAAACTACATCCTGTGAGTACTGCAGAGTTAGAGTCTTGTTGCAGAAATTGGGGGGGCGGGGCAAGGTAACAGGGTGTAGAACTAAAATTTGACAGAGGCAGAAGAGCATCAGAAATATCCTGTGTTGCTTTTGAAGTCATATACCTTTCTAATTTCCCCTATATTGAAGTCTGTCTCGCACTGTTGAAAATTTGTGTAGGTGTTCACCCTTATCACCCTTAAGTTCAATGTTAGTAACAGCAATGTCATTTTTAGTACTTATGCAAAGGAAGGTTCTACTGAATGCAGACGTGTCGGTAGATCTTTCTACTCAAGGAACACCATATTGACTTTAGTTTAATAAATGCTTACCTGTGTAAGCAGATATATTTAAATATTGCAGTATTGTGGACAATAATAATAAGTAAGTATAAGTCAAATATTAGAGACTGTTTGTGGAAAGGCTGAGGACACCTTTATCTAATTTTTTATAAACTGTTCTTTACAAAGTCAGCTGGATTTGAAGTCTATGCAAGTACTGGCAAGCATCCCGATACACTTAAAAGGAGATGTCTGGGTTTAATGATGGCCTTAAATAGAAACTTCCTTTCTTCTTGCTGGTACCAATTTTATATAGTGGTATATACTTCAATGTTATATTACTTATAACTATTGCACATATACATATATATGTATGTATATGTTTCTTTGGTTCAAATCTTCTAGCTTCCCTGACATTACATTAATACCAATCCCAGTTAATTGAAATAGACTGCTGGCGGTCTATGAGGCATGGCCATCTGTTTATTCAATGATTTGAAATTCAGACTAGTGGTGTTTAATTAAACTCTTGTTTCTGATTTTCCTTTAAAGCGTGCGTGTGTGTGTGTGTGTGTGAGAGAGAGGGAGATAGAAATGTTTACAGGAAGTGAGAACTCATCTGTAATCAATACCATTCTCTTTTCCATTTTCAGAAGCTCATAATGTTTTATTTTATAATGTAATTTATGTTTAGTGCAGTTTTGAAATATATTGATGCCTGAATCTTGTTTAAAATATGAGCATCCAACAATGTGAACCATGAAGTTAATTAAGGGGTAGAGGGATGGAATAATTAAATTATAGGAAAGGTTGAAAGAATGACACTTACAACTTGGCTGGATCACAACAGGAGATGGGAATGGGGGCATAAACATCTGCAAATATTCAAAAGGTGAAATTGCCAAGGCTAAGCAAGAAAATAATATGTTAACATACATCATTGTTGGATGAAATTTTTCAAAAATAAAGGTGCTGCCCAAACTCTAAGAAGATGCCTTGATTTGGAAAGCTCTAAGATTGACAGTGCTTCCTAAGTGAAGTCGTGTTGTCACTTGGTGTACCTGAAATCAGACTAGACTGTATTTGTAATAGTGATTATACCCCCCTCTTCTAGGGTGCTAATTTGTTTTTGTGTGGACATATATTTAAAAAAAAAGGCAACAAATGAAACTTGCATGTTATGTATAAATAAAAACTGTGTGTGCTTGTAAATTCAGTTCATGTTGCATTTTACACAGACATACACACTTCTATGTAAAAGCATTTAAAATATGTATATGAAATAACTGAAATTTACAATCAGTTTACATTTCCGTGGTTTTCACAATATAGCATTTTACTCTTTTAATTTTACATATCTCTTCATTTTAATCTGTCTTTAGGTGGTAAATCTGACACAAATTTATCCTAACATTTTCTACAGGGAATTTTTTGGGAATGTTGTATGGGGGAAGAGAAGAAGAAAGTTAGGCTTTGGTTGCTGTGTGTAGACTTTTAATATTTATTGTCAAATGACTTCACGGAATAGCTGATTCATCAAATTGCATTTGGAATTTAAAAAATCTTGAATTAAGAAACAAGTTTAACTATGTTTGCCTTAAAGCTTTGTTGAAAGTATGGCTCAAAATTATTAAGTATTAATATATGTTAAACCAAATAATTTTAACTTGAGGATTATTTGGGAAAGAAAGGATTTCACATTGGTGCTGGTTTAGACTTTTAAACTTCTCTAGTGATAACGGGTGATAAGAAATTCAAGCCTTGAGAGTTTGTTGTATCAGGCTCTATATTCAGTCTTGAAAAAGGATGTTCTTTGGTATTGGTTTCCTACAAACAATTTTCAAGGGCCAGGATTTGTAAACTATTTTGATTCCGTGCTAATGAAATTGCTTATCTCTTTGGGTTTTGGAGGCTCTGACCAGCAAGAGATTGAACAGGTTGGGGAGAACCTCTGGTGTGGGGAAAGGAGAGTCTGGAATAGTAATTAGAAGTATACAGAATACGAACTCCTGCACATTGAAATCCATGTGGAATTGGCAGGAATGTAAGAATGGGACACATTGGGTCACACCAGAGCTCCATATAGGTTGGTGTCCTGTTTCAGATAGAGGGTGTTTGCAGGTCTCCAAGGAAATGTCCGGGACTGGGAAAAGCACCTCCATTGTGTTACCCAAGCTTCTAGCAATTTGTGCTATTGAGACTTTATAAGCTGAAGATATCTTTGTTTTTAATAGGTTAGGATGACCTTCTCAAGATTTCTCGTTTCTTTTTGTACTTAGACCAGTTACTTAAATTTTGCTGGGAATGTTTTTCTTATTCAGTGATGGTTTACCTTTGTAGAAGCTTTCTTGGAAAAAGAAAAGTGTTGGTTTAAGTGCCACAGTTAGTAACATAGTTTTATTATTGAATTTTTATTAATTTTGTTCTAAAATCCTTCTGTTGAAGCTTCAATTTGAGACATATCTTTCAAAACCTGCCTCATAAAAAGTAGGGGGGGAGGTGTCACCATAGAAGCACTTCATTAAAAGTACTTCCAAATTCACATGGCTTTCTTTCAATGGTCGTGTATTATTAGAAGACATGCTTTTACATCTTGATCTTCTGTTGGCCCTGTGGATGCTGGCAGGCTTCCTGCTTTTGTGTGTTCAGGGAGGATTTGGTATTAGTCCTTATGCCTTTAGCAAGTTGTTTCTCAAATATTTTTGGCCATTTTTATCATGATTTTATACTGAATGTGCCAAAGGTGGTGGTTCTGAACTTGTTTGGGCATGACTTCAACTTTTTGAACTGTATTTTTTTACCTCTAACAGTCTCTTGGCCTTGTTGTTTAGCCACACTGTCTTTTGGTTTTATTTTTCTTGGCTTTTCAAAAGTTACTTCATGGTTTATAAAATACAGGATATTGTAAAACTCCTATTTTATGCCTATAGTTTAACTCGGGGTGGGACAACTGGAATCAAAAGATGAAGACTTTCTAAAGACAGGATGGGAGAGATGGTGGAACTTAGCAATGACTATGAACGTAAAGGGCCTTAAATGCAAGGTTTATTCTGTAACTCAGTCTAAAATTCAGTTTCTCTGGAAACAAGTAAAATCTTTATGATTTTTTGGTATCAATTTTTGGAGACATTTCAATATATGTACTCTGAATTATAGTAAAATTAATTTTTTTTTAAAATATGGTTGTGGTACTTTATTGGCAACTGAAGGATAAACATTACAGGAATTCTGTAAGTATCTCAAAACCAGTATTAAAATTCAAGGAAGTCAGAGAATGTTGCAGTTGCAGGTGTAGCTAAGATACCTGGGCAGCCTTAACTGCGATATCTAACAACATAATGCAAGTGCTATTCCATGGAAGAATGATGGTAGAGACTGAGTGAAAGCTCCT